GCAGTAGCTTTTTGGGCAAGTGTGTGACTCAAGCAGGAACTGGAGCAAATACAGCTCATAAAAGGTTATGATTAAATGGTATAAGCAAATACCACAAGGCAACACACACCTGCTTGGTAACTGAAGCTTAACCATGTTACAAGTTAACTCAAGTCCCGTGAGGGATATGCTATACCCAGCATTTCTTCCACAACTAAAAGATGGTCAAAAACCCTGCATAAATGTAACAACTGCCAAGGAGTTTAGGGCTGTGCTTTTCTTTCTTTTTTTAAGTAGCAAAGCAACAGCCCCATTGGTTAACACACATGCGTGGAAGATTGATGAACTGGTGTTAAGATCTGTACCTAGTAAGTAAGTTGGGTAAAACAAGTAAACTAAAATACCGGTGAATAGACCCTTAATGGCTTGATAAACTCCTAATGAAGGAGGGGTCCTAGCCTGGATAACTGAGATATCTATTAGTAATGAGCGGTTGTTTTCTATCAGTGGCACAGGAGGTAAGCAATACACTTCAACCCTGTAGGTGGTGTTAACTATCTATCTCCTGCTTGGCTTCAGCTGCTTTTGTTATTTTAGGTGGAAAGGAAAAGACACCAGGCTTTGCTTCTTTTTCTTCCCCCCCATCCCTGATCAATTGCCATAGCTGAAGTTGGGCAGAAGAGAATACAAAATTGGGGTAACAGTGAAAAGCATGGGGCCCATAAGGGTGTCTCCATCACCAAACAAGAACCACCTGGTTTCCCTGGGTGAGGCTGGATGTTAATGGTGATCATGTGTAACAGATCACTGATAATTGAATGCAATATTTGTGTAGGTAATGTGTCTCTGTGTGTGTATTATAAAGGATCATATTTTGAGCACTACAAGAAGCAAAGGTAAATCAATTCAGTATAGAAATATTTCCCGTAACTGTATGTGAACAAATCATATGCTATTAAGTGTAGACTTACATCACTGTAAGGACTGTCCCCCCTCAGGTATTTTACTGAGAATAGTTTAGTTTATTTGTGCTTAAGTTGATGGTCCTGGGGTAGGTGGAATATAGCACACTGTGGAAAATGGGGTTCCTCAACTATGAGGACAAGTTGTGCATACCCTGCTTGCACATTGTGCACAGGTAAAGATGACCTAACTGACCCAAAAGGTCACAATTGAAGCCACTAACAATGCAAAGCAGGGAGGCGGCACAGAACTGAATAATATAAATGAGGGTACATGCATTATGTCTCTTGGGAAAGGTTAAGTGAATTTCTGGACTCTCTTCCTCTCTGTTGCTTTCTTTTCTCTGTCTCTCTTTCTTGATATAATGGTGTTTTACCCAAATAAAAACAGGTAGGAAGTTAACTACCCTGAATCCATGTTGGTAGTTAGTGCAGGGAAAGTCAAATTTAAAGACACTTACTTACACAGAATAGCTGTCCCGACCTGGGGGTAGCAGATGCCCTCCCCTAACAAGCAACACTTGGGGTACAAAGGCGGCACTTAAGTATTGCCTTCACTAGCATTCTAGAAAATGCATGTAGGCTTCTGCAGGTAGCAGTGAAACAGCATTTGCTTATAAGAGCAGGCAGAGGACCCAATGAAAGTCCTAAAGTTCGTAGGAACATAAGGAAAATTGGAAAGTACATGGGATAGAATCATACAATCATTGAATAGTTTGGGTTGGAAGGGACCTTTAAAGTTCATCTAGTCCACCCCCCCTGCCATAAGCAGGGGCATCTTCAACTAGATCAGGTTGCTCAGAGCCCCCTCGAACCTGACCTTGAATATTTCCAGGGCTGGGGCATCTACCATCTCTCTGGGCAACCTGTGCCAGTGTTTCACTACCCTCACTGTGAAAAATTTCTTCCTTATATCTAGTCGAAATCTACACTCTTTTAGTTTAAAACCATTACCCCTTGTCCTCTTGCAACAGGCCCTGCTAAAAATTGAATACTCAAATGCAAGTTGTTTTACTTGCAGAGCTGAAAGGGAGAGGGGTACCACCTCCAGCACAAGATTTCAGCTTCCTTGCAACAAGCTGTTGTGCATGTTGGTGTATAATAAGATCAGATCCCACTGTCTCCCTCAAGAGTCGTCATTTGAAAGGGGATCTCCTGCCCCAGCCATGGAGTCTTAGACTATCCTACCCACCCTGGGCTCCCACCATAGCACATATGGCTTCTTCAAGAGCCCCACTTGCTACACCAGTGACAACTGCCTGGCAACTTGCAGTTCCAGGGGATAGAGAGAGGCTTCCAAGGAGGATGATCCTCATCGCTTGAGGAACCCCAGCAAAGAGGCTGTTACTCAGATGCTGGAAAAGCAATGGTCTGGGTCAGGCTATGACAGGAGGGTGGTGAAAGGAAAAGGAAAGGTTTCTCCTTCTGGAAGTAAAGCTGGAAACAGCCTGAGAGACCACATACTGCTCCTAAGGGGTTTATGCTGCAGACGTGAGAGGCACAGGCTCAGGAAGACTCCCTTGGTTGTCAAGGCAGCTAATTTCAGTGCAGCTCACCAGTTTCTGTGCCATGGGAGACTTGTGACTGATATACATGCACATCAACACACCAGTCCTCCCCCTGGGCCTGTAAACATGATATGGAAGCATATGACACTGTGTTGCATTTAATATTGCCCCTGCAAGGGGCTTCACTGTAACAGTAACAAGAAGGCATCTTTGCCAAGGGCTGCCCAGGGCTTAAAGATTCTAGGCAGTAATAGTGCCTCCAGGAAAGAATAGCCAGAGGATGAGGGAGCAAGTCCAAGCAGCTCTGGAGTAGCCAAAGTCCAAAGATTTGGAGCTGCTTCAGACAAACCCTGGCTCGTGCTGGAGGCAGAGGGCTCTGTCCAGGCCCAGTAATAGTGCTAGAAGCAAAGGGCTCAGGAGCGGCTCCGGTCTTCATGGTTGCCTACAATCATTTTGCTGTAGAGTTTCTGTTGCTCCTCCTTGAATGTGTCTTTCACCTTCTCCCTCTTCAGTCCTCCATCCCTGGGGAGAGAGTCGTATCATCAGAGGAGATGCAAGCATGCACTGTCTGAAACTTTAGCTGAGGCTGCTCCAGAGCAGGTTGGAGCTCCTGCAACAGCCAGCCAGCTACACTTGTACCTGACATTGCCAGGGCACACTGCAGACCAACTGTCCCCAAGAGGACTTACTTTCACACCTTGTTCTGCCAGGAGCTGCACCCATGGCCCCACACTGTAGTCAACATGGCAGCTCTGTCAGAAGTGTGAGCTGCTCTGATACTACTACAGTAGACTGCCTGCAGAGTCCCTCTGCACCTCCCGGCTCTGAAGATCTCAGTGACTGAAAAAGGAAGTTCCTAAGCTCAACCCACTTTGCTGAGCAGCATGAAGTCAGAACCAGGGCATCCCAGTGCAAGCTGGAATCACAGAATGAAGCCCCGGTGCCCAACATACTCAGCTGAAGACTTTGGTCTCTGCTACAGAAGAGCAGTTTTGGAAGTCACAGGCAAGATGTATCTCTATTTTTCCATAGGCCTACTCTACCCAATGTAAGACACAAACTTAGCTCTACAGCCCACAAGTGCATACCAGGACCCAGGAACAAGGAACCCTGCCACCAGGAAGAGAAAAGCCTGTGTGGACTCACCAGAGCAGATCTACAAGGCCCCCTTGTCTTGCAATGGCTGACTTCACTCGATTGGCAAACTGGACAGCATCCTCATCGGGCTGTGGCAAAATAACACTGTTCAGTGGGAGCAAAGGGCAAAACAGGGAGTAGATCAGGTAGGCGAGGTTCACCTTACTTACCTGCCTGGTCATTGGGGGCAAGTACCAGACACTGCAGACAATGGCCCAGCTGGTCATCATCCTAAGGAGGTAGGTTACCATGCCATACTTGCTGCTGTTCCAAAAGGCATCTCCAAACTGTGGGTCATACTACAGAGGCAGAAGAGCTCATGAAAGTCAGGCAGTGGTTGCACCCTCCCTGAGGCTCCAAGTTCTACCCCAAGCCCAGCTATAGGCCAGCCCTCCCAGAGCACTACACGGAGTGACCTCAGCTTCCCCAGGCCCTCAAGCCCAGGCTGCTGAACCACCAATGCCAAGATTGGGCTGCCAAAACTGAGCTCTCACACAGAGGGCTATTTGGGCTGTAAGAATGTTTGCCTTCTCATACCTTGATGGCTACTGGGTAAACTGTGGCTCCAATTTCAAAGCTCCCCTTTTTGAACATCATCACAGACGTGTTGTTGATGCAAGTTCCTGTAAGAGGCAAGCACAATCTTCTCAATTTCCCTTTGCAAGTCAGTTCAGAAGTCTAAGCTATACACCTAAGGGCTAGGCCACAGGCAACCAACAACTGCCCCCTAACACTCCAAACCCTGTTCTCTGTGTGCATACAATATGTCACCAGGACATCATATATCTGACTGCCACAGTCTGGGTTCAGTCAGCTCTAAAAATGAAATGTCCCCTTTGTCTCAGTGAAGGGTCTCAAGGCGCTTGGCTGCATAAGAAGGGAAGGAACAGAGATGCGGTGCTGTCCCAATGTGCCCTCTCCATCAGGTGCTTGTCTGGCCTTGCTCCACAACTCACCTTCCGGAAAGATAAGAATAGGCAGTTTGCTCTTGTCCTGGACATGCTCTGTGAGCCTAAACAGAAGAGTGTCACCAATTAGCACAGAGCACAGAAGCTATCACTAGCAATCCACACAGCATACAGTCCTTATCCTGCACTGGGGACTATCTAGGTGCCAGCAACAGTGGCACAATCTCCCGACACCCACAAGGCAAGGCAGCATCCTCACCCAATGGAAGTGGGCAGGCCCCCACCCTTCCCAGCCTCCAAACCTCCCCCTGCAGCTAGCAACTGTCGTACCTTTTGGCGACGAGGTGACGATCTTTGACCTCAGAGCGTTCAAACCAGACATGGGGGCAAGCTTTCACCATGGCTCTCTGTATCACACCCATGAGCCCTCCGTGGATCTGACCCACCTGAACAGGGTAAGAAGACAACAAGTTACCAGACCTGGGGACACATGAAGGCCAAGGAAGCTCCTAGCTTCACAGCCCAGTTCTGAGAGTCATCTTTCTACCCTTGCCCTGGAAAGGCTCAGAGGAAAAGCCCCAGGACAGATGTAGCAAGCCCCAAGTGCTTTCCACATTGCAGGAGGTCCAGCCAGGGAAGTGCTTTGCTGTGCCATGGATACCAAACCCCAGAGCTCTACTTGCAAAGCAGTGCCCAGAGACCCCTGATGCTCTGAGTCCAAGGCCAAGCTTGCTGGAAAGCCATGCACAACAGGGTATCTGTGCACAGGGTCAGAGTGCCCTGCAATGCCGTGCAGGGAAAAGTAGTTCCGCATGCTCAAAAGCCTCTTGCTGCCTACTCCTTGTCCCATGCAATATTCTTGCTGCTCCCACCACACATGCGGCCAGGTCCTGGCAGGCAGAGCTGGGGCTGGGGTGCAGACCTTACCATCGCATAGTAGCCATCACTGGCCAGGATGATAACATCAATGGGAGATGTATGATTGGCCACACAGATGCCTCCATTTCGGGGTCTGTTTTCTCTAAATGCAAAACAAAGGTACAGATGAGAACAGAGGAACAGAGCGTGGGGCCTGCAAGAGGCACGGCATGGAGCAGCTAGTGGGAAGAGACACCCTGCAGCAGCCAGTGCCTCCTTACCGGTCATGGTAGGTGATGATGGCTGTGAGGGCACGCACACAGATCCGGTAACACATCAGGTGGACATGCTTGCTCAGGAACTCCTTACACCTGCAGCCCAGGACAGAGACCATCACCCCCCAGTTGTACAATCTCCCCTGTAACGGTGGCACTCAGCTCAACTGCCCCAGGCCATGAGATCCAACAGCAACTTCACATCTTTCCCACAGAAACATGTCCTAGGTTTTGCTGTCAGCTTGTGGCTACTGATTCTTAACTCATGAGAACCAAACTTTGGCCTTTGCCCTTTCTGTTTTTATTCCTTTCAGTGCCCGGGGCTGAGCACTCTGCCGTGGGCTTAGTGCTCACATCTAGGCCCTTTGTTTAAAATTACAAGTGTCTGTTCCTGAGAGGCTACAGACGCCAGGACCACCTGCCTTGTCTGCAGGAGGCAGAACAGATAGGCCTTGCAGGAAAACGTCTCAAGCTGCACAGGGGCCTCTCCATCCTCTCTTCTTCAAAGACAAACTCACCTTCCATTTGGCAAATATCCCACCACTGTAGTACCAGTCACCAACAAGCTGATGCCAGTAAACGCCAGGGCTATCCTGCAGAAAGAGGGAAGCTACACGCTAGCAAAACCAGGTCACAGGCCCTACCCATCAAGTAGCCTGTCTCTCCTGATCATGTTGAACAGGGTCCATGGAGCCTAGAGACCAGTTGCACTTGGTGCAGTGGGAACAGGTCATCAGCACCATGCCAGCAGGCAGGGTGCCGCAGCAGCACTCACCTGAGGGGCAGAAGGAAGCAGTAGCGGATGAGCACACCCAGTCCCCAGAGTACAGTGAGGCGCAGGCTGATATACTGGAAGTTGTAGTTGGTTCTGCTGAGCAGGTTCCAGGACTCCAGCTCTTCAGCTGAGAATCTCTTGGTCACTTCATCATCCATGATGGTCTCGATGCCTTTGCGGCAGAAATAGAAGATATCCGAGAGCTCAAACTCAGGGGTGTCCAGGGCTTTGCCACTGCCACTCCGGCGGATTTCCTTGATCTCCTCTTCCAGTGATGTTGGCTCCTTTGCAATGATACCTGCAACATGCAGCCAGCTCTGATCAGAGCACGACTTGCCCACTCAAAGACAGCTGAGAACCAGGGCCCTTACTTGCCTGCCCTCCACAGATCTCCCTTCCTTTCTCCAGTCCAGACAGGCATAAACCAGTCCTCCCAAATACCTAGAAATGAAGCACTCCCTGTGTGCTTCCTTCCCCTTCCTCACAAAATGGACCTCTCCATAGCTCCCTCCAATCCATTTACATGGAAAAGGCTTCCCAGCGTAACTCAGCTGCTCAGAGACACCACATTTACCCCATCTCCCATAAAGAATTTTGAACTTCATATGTACCCATGCATGGCAGGATCTTACCATTGACATAGGGCTTATACAATGGATGGTTCTTCTCCTTGGCACCACGCTCTATTCTCAGTGTTGCCCACTGCAAGAGACACACATGAGAAGCAAGATTCGCAAGGCCTGTAGCTCCACTTCATACCACCCCTGTTTTACAGTTGACTTCCAGCGAAGACCACAGTTGAGGGGAAAAGATGGGGCTAAAGCAGGAGGCTTCCATACCAAACTGAAAGAGCGAGTGATGAACACAACTGAATCAAGGTAGAAGCAGACACTGGCCTGAGAAGAACATTTTTACAGCAGAGATCTGTCTGCAATGGGACAAGAGGACTGATGGGGAGGTGACTAGCACTGGTATAGGACAGTCATGATGTGCACATGTTTGTGTGTCATTCTGCACAGCAGAGCCCCAGCGGGAAGCAGGGAGTGCCGGAGGGAAAAAGAGTGCTTGGTGGTGAGATGGCACAGCAAGATTTTCTGCAGCCTCCATGTCCTGTAGGCTCTGTTGCCCCTGGCATGTGGACCATGCATCCTGCTGGGGTGCTCCACACCACAGGAAGCCAATCATGGGACCTCTGCTATTTTTCACCTCTCATTTCTTCCAAGCTCAAAGCAGTGACTGTGTTTTCAGGCTGCTGCTAAAAACATCAGGCTGATGTTGAGATGGGATCCTTCCCTCCCTGATTCAGCTAACAGCTGCTGCAGCTTCTCAGCTCACCAGTCCGTCCAAAACAGCAGCAGCAAGCACCCTCAGACAGCTCTCGGCCCAAATCCCATGCCCAGACTACCCGTTATCCACAGAAATCTCTCAGCTAATTCTCAAAGGCACCAGCAAAAACTGCAGGCTGGATTTCTGGCCAGTCTTCCTGCCTGCCCTCCAAGTAACCCTCTCAGCCTTATACTCTTCTGCATTATACAGGCCTGGGAGAACAAGCTTCCGTAGGAGGACTTGTGTACAACACGCTTATTGCTCCAGGCTAACTGCTCTGTCAGGGATCTGTGAAGTACAGGAAGCTGCTGCGAACTCCTGGCATCCTGGTCTCAGCCCATGCCAGCATCAAATCAGGAGGCAGAGATGTGGGAATGCTAATTGCCTATGGAGTGTCCAGCTCATCTAGCAGTCTCCTCTGCCAGCAGAAGGAACTGCAGGATTGCAAAAGATTGTCTAGACACTGCCATCCCAGGAGAAGTCAGAAGAGGAGCTCTGACCAGGCAGGAGATGGGCAGCCTACGGAGAAGGTGTTCCTCACAAGCCCAGCATGTCTCTATCCTGACTGCTTTAGAAGAAAACCCAAACTCCCACCTGGGAAGCACCCGGCAGGTCTCCCTCACCACCAACAGACATGTGCAGCCACCACCCCAGGCCTCGCAGCTCTGGCTGTGTCCCACAAGTTGCCAGACTCGAGTGCTGCCCCTCTAGGCTAGGTTTGCAACGCTGGTCTCTAGAACTGAGAAAATCTTTTGGATGAATAATGCTTCCCAAAAATACAGTTCTGAATGACCAAACCTAGTGAGTGAATTTTCCACCAAATCTGTGAGCAGTTCTGCCAGAGTGCTCCTCTCTCCCACCACAAAGATTCTCTGATAAAAGCTGAAATAGACCTCAAAGTCTTTTCAGAAAAAGTTTCAAAATTAAACATCAAAATAGGTGTTGAGATTAAATGTTCCTGAATTGAAGAAAGAAAAAAATAAATAACAAGGTAAAAAGTTCCATTTCAGATAAACCAAACTTACTAATTTTTTCTCACAGTTCAGTCACTAAATTTGAAGTCAGATCTTCAGACATCTGTGTTAATGAAGCACCTCACAAAGCCCAGGGTCTCCCCATTCACACCTCAGCTTCTGGGAGGACTCAGAGTTTAAAGAGCTAAATATTGCAAGCTCCAGGGCTGCCTTCCCAAGCCAGCCAGTACAGAGGTACTCATGGGGAAGACCAGCCCTGTTCAAATAGCAGTAGCTGTACCATATATCCTTTAGCAGCTTGAACTCCACATTTAAGAGCCTAAAACCTCCCTATCAAGCACAGGGGACCCCTTTTCCTTTCACTCGGGCTGCCAGGGTAGAGTGGTGTAGGCTTTATCTACTAGGAGCTTGACAAAAATTCTGGTCTCACGAGGGACTTGCTTCAAGGAGAGGTGCTGGCTGTGAGATAAGACCATAAAATTAGTCTGCCAAAGGCAGGCAAGGGAACAGCATGACCCCAAGTTGGAAAATTCCACTCGGCCTCCCTGTGCCAAGAGGGTCAGCAAGGGCTGCTGGTCGTCCTCAGAGGCTGCAGGTCCAGACATGGCTGCTGGGCTCAGCAGATAAGCAGGTGCTACTTCAGGACAGAAAGGTGTTGAGAGCTCTGGGTTCCAGCCACAGACCACTCAGGGCTTGCAGTACAGAAAGTCCTGCCTTACCTCCTACTTTTGCTTCATCCAAACTTGTGCTGGAGAGGAGCAGCTTGCTGACTGCAGTCTTGTCCCTCCCATCACACCCCACACCCCTTTCGGCTTCCTTCCAGCACTCTGCCTTGCCTGGGACATTAACCCATCCAAGCACACACCTTCTCTCAGCACATCTACAGATCCTACTGTACTACTGCATAGTTACAGGCCACACTATCCTACTACTTTCCTTGAAGACTTATTAGATTAATTACAGGGGAAAAACAGCCCACAAACAGACATCTAGTAAACTGCATTTGGTTGAGATGACCCAAATGGGTCATCTGGCACCAGCGCATGTCACCAACAAACCAACCTCCCACCCCAGTCATCTGCAATGCTCTGCTGAGGGGCAAAAGCCTCTCCTCCTAGCATGACCACACTACAGACAAGATCACTGTAAGCACACAGAAAATTCTGAAAACATAACTTACCTGAAAAATCTTTAATAATGTTTTCATGTAAACCTTGCGGATGCCAAAGGAGACTCCAAAAATTGCTGGCACAATGATAAAAACCAGAAGCAGAGTGAAGAGGACAGTTATGGAAATCCCCAAGAGATTGACAACGAGGCTGTCAAAGGGGAGCAGGAGGAACATGGTGAAGGGCCAAGGCAAGGCTGGTGCCCTGCAGCCAGACAGAAAGGCTGCCCACAGCGATTAACCAGTCCTCCTGTTACTCAGCAACAGTCTCACACATGCACTGAGTCCACAGCCTGCTCACAGACCCCATTCCAAAGTTCACATCCTTTTTGGGCTCTGCGAGAGAGGGAAAGCAACAGGATCAGGGAGAGCGGTTGGGAAAACAAGCAAACAATCTGCCAGGAGCCCAGGTGAGTTCAGACAGTATGGGTTGAGGAGCTCAAAGACGACGGAACACACACACAGGTTCCTCCATGGGTGTGCAGCGGGCACTGCAGTGACACAACTGCATGAATGGATATCCTCCCAAGGTACCACTGAGCAAGTCCTGCTGTGGGGCGGCTTGTGAAGAAGCTGGCAGCAGAATCCCCTTCTGGCTGCTGAGAGCATGCAGAGTCTCTTCACAGGGACAAGGTGGAGTCCATCCCTGAGCCTGCATTGGAGGAGATTGAGGGAGTTGGCACTTGCAGGAGCCTACCGTATGCTGAGCTATTATTGTTCTTTCCGTGAGGACACAGGCACTAGCGCAGATCCTTGCATGACGCCTGGAAAAAGTTTAATTCCAGAGGCCCCTGGCATCCACTCACGCAGAAGGGTCGTTACAGACACGAATGAAGCCTGTGTCCCTGGAAAGCTCTTCAAACAGCAAGTTGGCTTCTTGGCAGACGAGGCACTCATATGCCAACCAGCACTAGTGGAGGAAAGAGAAACCAAAGTCAGGCAAGTCACACACCTCAGAGAGACGTCAACTCAAAAAGGGTGGCAGAAGGCCAGGGACAGTGGGCTCTGAAACCTGGAAGGCAGCATTTGGGCTGAGGTCACATCAGTCAGAGAAGCTCTTGAGAGACAGCAGACTCAGACTGGCCCTCCAGCTACTGCCTGGCACTGTCACAGACTATGAAATCACCCCCTGCTACCACCTGTCCTGTATTTTCATACCACTCACACCTCAGATTGATCAGACATGTCCTGAACCACGCCTAGAGCACAGGACACTGCAATCAGGTCCCAAGCACAGGAAAGGAGCCAGTGGAGTCACAGAAAACCCTTCCTCATGACAAAGACCTTACCGCCTCTCTCATTTCAGAGGCATCCAAGAGCACTTGAGCCAGCCAGGTACCCAGATTCCTGGGAAAGAATCACTTCCTCTACTCCTGTACGCACATTGCACCCCCTGGTCACACAGAGCAGTTTTACAGGACAGGAAGTTGGCCCAAGGGGAGAATTATTGATGATGATTAGCCAAAGTGGAACTTGTTGGGGCACAGGGACCAGGCAAAGGTCAATCACCTGGCATTGCCAGTCCTTCCGGGGGAGGACGCTCTCCACAGCACAGGTATGCACAAGGCTAACTGAGACTAGTAAAGAGAGCCGAGTCTGCTCAGCGCAGACTTCCTTCCAGATACCATCTTCACCTGGCTACAGAGTGTCTATCTGAGGATGGGGTTTAACAGGTACCTGACAAGCACATAGGAACAGAGGAGAAGCTGGGAGCCTGCTCCCCTGTACACTCTGTTCCAGCTGCTGGCTTAGCATTGCTGTACCAGTAATGCTAAGAGTATTGTTAGTGCTTCAAAGGAACATGCACGCCTGCACAAACCATGTCCTGGGAGAGGCAGCTCTACAGCCACGCGCCAAACTGCCCATTATGCCGGAGCTGTCACCCATCAGAACCAGGGCTTATGCTGGCAAACTGGTCAGACCAGCCACCTGAGCTGCCAGCCGCTGCCCTAAGTTACTCATTCCTTCACTGTGACATCCAGTCATGGCCCGCCAGGGCAGACCATGCACCAGGCAGTGTGCACGGCCAGCAGCCACGTGTGATGAATCCTAGGCAAGTGCAGGCAGCCCTGCCTGCTAGCTACAACCTCTGGGCCTCATGCCAGGGCAATACTGCTGACGCCCCCGGGCTGGCAGGGCGCCTGCTCGGCCCCACCGCTGTACTGCCCCGGGCAGAGGCAGAACCTAGCTGCCGGCAACGATGCCCGGCGGGCACAGCGACCGCATCCCGCACCGGCTGCAGCTTCAGGTTCAGCACCCGGCGGCCGCGGATATGCATAACAGTGCACCAAGGGCTGGGAGCGGTGCA